TGTAATATATAAAAAATCTACTGTGTAAGGTTATTTATTTTTTCCTTCCAGTGAGCCAGTAGACATCTGAAGGATCATGAAAGTACCTCTGAAGATGAAAACTGCTGCTGGGTCAATGGTAAAAAGATATGCAAATAATGCTGGGCCACAAATGGAGCTAAAGCATGTGCTTTATAACAAGCCCTTTGTCAACAGTGTAGCATGAACACACCTAAACCAGCTTTCCTCGGTTTCATGGATGCCAGGATGATCTCCGAGCCATGAATGTTGTCCATGTGTCTGAGAGACTTGGCCTCGTAAAACCACTCTCCAGTCCGATACTTCAGCTGAGTGTTCGGCTGCGAGCCGTCCAGTAATTTCTCAATTTTACTGAAGGGGAAACACAAAAGAGACATGTACAAATGAATAAGTCAAGAGGTCATCATTATCTGTATCTTATTCCCATGTGACATATTTACAATGCTTACTTGAATGGTCCTGAGTCGTTTTAATTTAGTTTAAGTAGCACTAATCTCTACATACGGTAGGCTTCGGGCAGAAAGAAAAGCGAGAAAAAGTGTTGGTTTATCTCCACATCTTTACTCTTGCAATCTTTTAATGTTTCAGCCACTTTCTGAACTTGGCCTAATAAAACTAAATTCTAATTATTTAATAATGTTTTCATTACACCATGTATATTTGTTCTGCTCTACTACCTCCAATGTGTACTCCACCAGCTCTACATACCAGTTGCACATGATCGATCTAAAAGGATTACGGAAAACATTCTCATCAAGTTCAAATTGAATCAAAGAGAAATGAGCAACTCCTCTTTCCTCTTGACAGGGAAACAGTGGTCATGTGAAAAAAGGGTAGCACATTATTACAGGCTGTTGGCCTAATCCTTTTACTCAGAGACACAGCGAGCATTCAGTCAACCACTGATACAAAAAAGTCCACCTGCCAATTCCATTTAACTCAAAATGAAAAGCACATGGTGTCAGGACATTCCCAACTCTTAATGAAATGAAACGCATCTTCTACAAGGTTTTTGTTTGTAGGTTATGACTGCATTTGTATTGGGAAAGAATGTCCTCCTTTTGTTTTTGGACATTAGAGGAATACGAATGGGCCTTTTGTTTGCCTTAACAACACTGAGTGTGATGTTTGACCCTGTCTAAATGAAGAGTTTAACCATGATTTTAGGTGATATTCAACATTTGTCTTTTAGGGACAGGAGACAGTATCAGTCTCTTCCCTGGTGAGGTGTCCCTTATTGAGGCATTTAAGGGTTTCTATCCTTATCCGTCAGAGCAGCATGATCCTCTCATGTGTGGACATCATCTTGGCTGTAATCTAATTGGACATCTCACATTAAGGCTTCTCAGCGAGGGAGGCGACGTCTGTTCCGGCCAAGCTGTTATTGTGTTATTCCATTATAGCCAGACAAGTACTATTTTGAATGTCCCACCAAATACCTTTTCTCACAGGCAATGGACAGATTTAAGTGTACTTATTCAATCATTAAAATTTCATTAGCTGAATACCATGACATTAGCTGAAATGTCAGCCAAACATTTCTGCTCCTGTAAAGAAAGCTGAATGCTGTTGACTTTTGAAACTTCTACCCTTAAAAGGGTCAAAGGACATCAGATGCTGATTTATTTGAGCTAATGTATGCCTGACGCATGTTTCTACCTGATTCTCTGCTCCTCAGCCTTCTTCAGGTCTGTGTCCCTCCTCAGCACCGTCATTATCATCCCCTGCTCCTCCTCCGTCAGGTGGCTCAGGTCGATCATGGTTCCTCCTCCTCTAAGTGTGTTTCTCAGCGGGCAAGTGTGAAAAAAGCTTAGCAAGCGGGAAGCAACCAGCTGGGTCTGTCACTGTTGGACAGATTTACATTGTCACATCCTAAGTAGTTTAAAATATATATATTTTACAACCTTATCGATGATTGGTACTTACCTCAAATCAAATAGACAGTCTTTAACAGTTATCTAGTGAGTAGAAAAACCACAACATGGCATTTTAAAACAGCCATTAAACGTATGTACAACAGACTGTTGACTCCCCTTAGCTCAACTTAAATCAAAGACTTTTGCAATACCTGAAGCTCTTCCCAGTTCCCCAAATGAATTCAGTAACATCATGAAAGGTAACTAAGTAGATTTTCTCAATAACAGTAACTTTAAGGTACTTTACTCGAGTATACCCATTGTATGACTTTATCCTACTTGTCTACATTCGCTACAAATATTATTAAATATATTTGTCCCCTAAATTAATTATCAGCTATAGGTACTACTTTACATACAATTCTATGATGTGAGGGCTACAAGCCTCACAAACAAACACACATCCTAAAGGTTATGCTTTTGTTTGCATCAGACTGACACATTTATTTGAAACCGCTTTATTTTGCTAGATTGAGAGCACGCAATCTTGTTTAAAATATCTATTGTTAATTGTGTTGTGTGTAATTATATTGTCAGTGTCGTACAGCTCACCCTGCTCCTGGCAAAAGGTTGAGCTGATGGAAAACACCTGCCTTTATAGATGTGTCAGCTAATTGGACTACGCCATTCCTCTCAAACCCTGAGGGGTGTTTAAAGAGGCCACTCCATTTAAGCCACCCCTTTTTAGAGCCTCTTCCCCCTGCACGCAACAATGGACCGGCCAGTAGTGCTATAAATTCCTGCAGTGTGGAAATGAGGGGGGGTTTAGGTGGCGGTATGCACCTTTTAAGTTGTTTGCAATCCGCCAAAAGCAAGAGAAGAAGATGAGGGGGGGTTGCGAGTTGCTCTTGGGCAGAAGAGCACACAGGATGTCACCCATTTTTGTGACGTTTTGTTTATGCGTTAAATGCTAGATTGTGTCTGTTTATATCTACACCTTTTTGTTTAAACCTAATTGATTTTATTGCCTATCTTAAGACTGTACATATATTGGGCAAATAAAATCCTTATTTTTGCACCTCAACCTGCATTCCTGATTGTTGTGTACCCGCTGGTCCTTCACATATGAAAAACCCTATAACATTCAAAGCATTTACAGTTTATCTTGTGTCCCTTTTAAAAGGGGCCCAGTCCTCTTGTTTGGTCCCACTGGACAAAACCACAACATATTTAAATGAGCCCATCTCAACTTACCACAAAACTACAAATTATGCTTACACAATAATGCATTAACGTTACAAGTCGAATCATCTTATGAATTATAATGATTACCTGCATACTGGTACTTTTAATACTTAAAGTAGATTAATCCCAGTAGCCTATAGGTGTGTACTTTACATAAGAAAATAATCTAAGTACTTCTTCCACCCCTGTTTCTACACCACAAAGTACTTAAAAAAAACAGTTAAGCCAACATCTTGCAAGAAAACAGCGTCTGAGGGCTTCTTCACATTTAAAAACCTATTAATGTGTCATACCCAACGCGAAGAAACTCAGCTAATTGACAGAACCATTTTTACCGAAACAAAACACAAGTCTTACAAGGAGCGTCTAAATGAGCCCTTAGCGAAATAATGCTAACACACTTAGCACAGAACTCTAGGTATAAATACCCTTATTACATATCGGATCTGCACAAGCAAGATATTTGTTCTAGATTCTAGGGGTAAGTATCATAACTGAGCGATCAGAACTCGCGACAGGGGAAGCAAACAGACATCACGACACGGAGCTTTACGGAGCAAAAACATTGTCTTACCTATGCTGTTGTTCTGATCAAAAGTTTTTTTCCATGGCATTAAAACGATAAAAACTCTGCTGAAGATTAATCCAAAGGTTAATCCAATGTGTCTGTGTCACTTTGAAATGATGGATTTTAGGAACTTCCCCTATTGGCTAACGGTTAAAAAGAGGTGTCAATCATCAAAATCGACCGAGGTGGGCCAGAGTTATGGAAAATGCACCCAAATGATCCCAGAATTGTTTGTTTTTCTCTAAATCTCTCTAAAAAGGTAAAATGTCACTTGTTTTGCATCAATCTTGATACAGGGTACTTATTATATTTTATAGTTTGAATTCCTAAAGCTTTTAGTCTACTATCTCATCATTCAAGGGTGGTTTTCACTATAAGTAATGTTTATTACTATTATATGTTATCATATAATAGTAATAAACATTACTTATAGTGAAAACCACCCTTGAATGATGAGATAGTAGACTAAAAGCTTTAGGAATTCAAACTATAAAATATAANAATAAAGTTTATAAACGAAAGTAAAATCAAGCCCCAGATTGATTGTTCTTAAGCGACGTGTATACGTGAGGTATACCCAGAGTAGAAATGTACAGTACTTCCACAAACAGTCAGATAATCCGTTACCCGTCGTCTGATACAGTATACCGTTGAACACGAGCAAAGTCGGAGAAGGTACCGGGCAGAAGCCTCCCTTTTACCGCAGCCTCGTCCAGACATAGACACGTCAAACGCGCACAAGGATATTCAGGGTGCAGTTCCTTTCGGCATTCAGGGCAGGGGCTACTCTAGGTACTTTCCAGGTTCGTATAACATAATGATTGTGGCACTTTTAACAAAGCAGCAACGATGGTTTTCAAACATCTGTAATCACAAAGAGGTCCGCAAAAACGCTATCGATCGACATCCAGACTTGCTTGATCTGTGACTTGTCAGTGTTTATAAATAATATTTAATTTCTTCCGTTTATGGAACAAAGCTTACAAAGCGATAACAATGCGAGCACCTTGTTAAGGATTTAACTTCGACTCCGGGGGGTCTTACTTATAGTATGGAGGAGTGGCATTGGAGCACGCTGCCAACAGCAGGGGAACAAAGCACCTGTAACTGACGACATGCAGGAACTACGCGAAGAGCAGGTGACTACTGGAAAAGAGCACCATTCAAAAGTTCTGATCGGCGGGTCTTCTGAAACAAAGCAGAGGAAATTATGACCGTAGTGGCCACCAGGTGCGAAAGCTCTCTCCCAGAGCTACTGGACGCCCATCTCGGGGACCGGAGAAAGTGGAGCAATATTCCTCGCCACGCCAAGCACAAGCAGCTCGAACAACCCTATACAAGTGACCCACGTAAGCCATGCTACTGATGTTGGACAGTTTCAGTGGATGCACAATTAAACAGCACATCCACATTAATAGTAAATAACATGCCAAATATGGACTCAACGCCTTCTCTGTCTAATATGGTTCGCTTGCGCTGTTAGTGTTGTGCATAGCAACCCACCTGCCTACTGTTTTTGTGCAGGAAGCAACGGAGGCAATTTATTATTGAAACGTTCATTATGTGACTGATAAAACTATTAATAATAGAGTGGTGTATGTTTCTTTCTATGCGCCACACTTGGTAACCGTTTATAAAAAGAATAGCTTCACTTCAGGCCGTGATATATGCTCATTTATATCCAGCCTAAGGGGTTGTCGACCCTCCGCTTCCGCGTCGGGCCGAACCACGCCCCTTAGCTGTGATATAATGAGCATATACCACGGCCTGTCGTGAGCTATTGCTTAAATATAACCTTCGATGCTAGCAACTGTTTTTCCATGACCTTTGATGCTAGTTAGCTATTTCAACTGTGTTTTCATCACCATTGTTGGTAGTTACCTCAACAGGCAATTCATTAGATTTGTATGCCAGTTAAATGTTTAAACTGTTTATACATTACCTTTAATGCTAGCTAAATGCGTATCAATGTCCTTTAAGGCTAGATACATTTTCAACTATTCATGATTGTAGCTAACTATTTCAACTTCTCTGCTAACTTGCTAAAGTTAACTAGTTTTACTTACTCTCAATTGCAAAACATGATAGTAATATGTTTTACCACTTACTTGTAAATGCAAGTTATCACATCATTTACTAATGTAAAAACTTAGTAAAGATGTACTTCCTTCACATTTCTACACAAAAGCATGGAATAATCAATGTGCTGTCTTTAAGTACTGTGTCAGTCACAGTCACATTGAATGTCATGCTGTTTACATTTGTAACATACAGGATTTAGATTTGTTGGGTTCTTTTCTTGGTATACTGTTATTCTTTAAGTGATGCTTGACCGTTGTCACATGAAACTTTCTATTTTTCCCTGATTTGAAACGAAAATCATGGATTTTATTTTATTTTATTGAAAGGTTTCAGGTCCTGAGAGCTCAATGAAACATTTTAATTACCTCTTTTTGTTCCAAACTTTCAATTTCCAAATGTTATATTATTAATCAGACAGAAGCTTTATAATGTTAATCTCAGATTATCTCTGATATGCTCGTTTCCTCCTTAGGACCTGAAATGATGGAGAGCAAGAACAACGTTTGTTCCGTGATGGAGGACGGTGAGATGGATGTGCAGGTCAGAGAAACCGAAGCTGAGTCAGAGCAGTCCAACAACAACAGAACCAACTGGTCAAATGGTAATAGACTGCTCACATGATTTAACTGCTCACATGATTTAACTGCCTGACTATAGATACCAGTAAACAGACATAAAGGGATGTCATTTTTTGTTTTACTTCCTAACAAACATTATTGAGCATTATGTCATAATTCTTTGTAAAGATATAGCATTGTCAGCGCAAGACTATTGGCCCATCTTTTTACCACTGGCTGATGAAAATATAGGTTTAAAGTCTTCTCTCTCTGTCTCTGTCTCTCTCTCAGGTCAGTGTGTTGTGGCGATGCCCAGCTGTTCGATGTTAAACCCAAGCTTTGATCTGTCTCTCTGCCGAGCCAAACTTGAGAATGATGGCTTTCAGGTCAGAAAACACCCAGACACCAACACAAACATATGACCCACTGTGGCACCATAACATTCAGATATATTTACTTTAATCTCTATTTACTTACTAATGTTTTTAGATTCCAGAGGAAGACATGGAGACTCCTCTGAAGACAGCTCTGGAAGTTCCCTCAGTCAGGAGATACATGGTTTTCAACTCGGCCCTCTTCCATTTCTTAATGGCACCGGTAGGATTGTCTGGGTTTCTGTGTACCAACTATAGTTACCTACTAAGCTACTTTCCGTAGTACTCTTGCTCTCAATCAATCAATCAATCAACCAATCAACCAATCAATCAATCAATCAATCAATCAATCAATCAATCAAATAATCAATACACCTATCAATCAGTACACCTATCAATCAACCTATCAATCTATACATCTATACGTCAATAATTAAATTAACCAATCAATCATTCAATCAATCAATCATTCGATCAATCAATATTAAAGTTCTCGAAGTATGTTTAAATGAAGTTTGCTGTAAGAAACTCAAATACAAATTGTAAACTGCAACGCATATTTTCCAAAATGATACCAGTTTTATACTTCTGGTTAATAGCAACCTTTGCTCTTCCTCCACCAGGTGCTGTATCTGGTGGTGTGGTGCGCTGTGTTCTCCACCCTCCACGTCTTTATCACAGTTAGTGACTACTGGGTCCTCTGCCTCTCTGTCAGCCTGGTCTCTATCTTCCTCACCACTGCCATCATATTCATCCTCCACTGCAGTAACAAGGAGGTAAGGGGGGGTCTGATACCATGTTTACAGTAATATTGACACATTTACAATAACTTACATCTGAGTTTGGATCTGAAGTTATTTCGTTAATGTAATTAATATAGACACAATAGTTGTGTTGGTTTTGACTGCATGTACACAATTATACTTAGATCAAATTAAATACTTATCATTGGAAATAATTAATTTAAAAACATGTTTCTTTGTCTGTTTCTGTGTCAGATTGACATGAATTTAGACGTCCGGTTAATCCAGGTGAATGAGAGGCTGGTTAAACACAAGCTGATGGTGGCCGTGGTTGACTGGGTGCAGTCCTGCGCAGGAAACATGCAGGTTGGTTTTATAAATAAACTCAAACTGCAAGGAAATAAGGTTTCTAAATGTACCAGAATTGACTTTTGGTCTTTTCTTGCTTACTTCTTACTTTCTGACTTGCTCTGCCTGTCAGGGAGAATAAAAGGAATACAAACACAACATGATTATTTATAACACTGTGAGGGACGGAAGAATGATACAAAAGAAACATGTGGTAAATGACTCAGCAAGATTGCAATTAAGATAACGTCTCAGCAGGCAAAACTGCACAACAATGACAAAACAAATACAAACCCTTTCCTAATCTAGAAAACTTTGTATACTTCCACATTTCCAGACATTTCCCAACAATGTATTCATATTCTTTGTATGGAATATATACTTAAATATAAAATAAAGGCCATGCATTACTTTGACTGGATGTTTAATTACGTTGTCCTGAATCATGCTATTGTGTCATTAGATCAATTGATGAATATTCTTTTCTTTGGCAGCCTCTGATAAAGTCTTATACGTCTCTCTGTACCTCTCTGCAGCTGTCTTTTGTGTATTGGGACATGTCCCGCTGTCTGAGGGCACTGACTGAAACTTTAGAGGAGGGCAGCTTTGTGGTGAATGACACCCAGGTGAGTACATCTGTCCCTCAGTTTGTTCACCTGCTGCTCTATTGATTTTTTCTTGTACTTCAATGTAAATTCTTCCCCGAAATCAATAGAAGCATAATTCCAGCTGCTGTTGAAAGGATACTAATTTCCATATCTTCAGGAAAACAGAAATGTACTCCTTAATGGGTGGCTTCAGATTTCATAGCTTCAATTTGGCAGAAGGAAGGAAATGATAAAAAGGATTGGTGTTTCACCAGAACAAATTGAAGAAGAAAATGTCGCATCTGGCCCTTGTGACGGAGGAAACGGTGGTTGAGCTCAAGGTTGGAGGGTCAGATGTGGAGCAGGACCCTGATGAACAGAGGCCTCTGCTGAGCCAGGAGAGCACGGGCAGCAGTACTCAATCCAGCCCGCCAGAGGCTGCCAAAGTCACCACCAACTACAGCCTCATCCCTGACCAGTCGTTACCTGCTCAGGTAAAGGATGCTAAGAGATGTAATTGTTCCCACACTGAGGAAATGCATATTAGAGCTTTTAATGTCAATCTTTCCGTTTGTGTGTACAGACAGAGAGATCGAAATTACGTTTCCAACAATCCCGAATACAAAAATAAAATTATACAATATACAGATATGTATACAAATATGTATAAAATATGTATATCCTATACCCAATCAACAGACACATTTACACATATGCACACATTAAGATAAAAAAATACAACAATCAATATATACAAAATAACAGTCACATCAATATCAACAATGGTGCAAGATTGTCCATAGCAGCGTAAAAAGAAAAAAAAAAAGCAGCTAGGTTTGCGCATACATTTAAAGTTTAAAATGTTTCATCTTCAATTACTTTTAAAATGTTTTTTTAGATTTCTTTTAAGTTTAGTTTGTTTCAGAGTTTCAAAGTGTGTGAGCTAGTTTAAGTGTCTGTAAAAGTTTTAGTTCAATCATATTAAGCTTGACGTTTTAATGTCTCAGAAGTGTATAGCTATACAGTATAAAATAAAACAAATGGCTGGATAATGGAATTGTAAATAGGAATAGCCATTATGTTTTAATATTTCGAATCAAGAAGGTTACCAAGACTTCTAATACTCTTCTTTGTAGGCCAAAGCCTACCAGCTTCTGATGACCTACAGTGCAGCGTACGTGAAGCTGTTGGTGTCCCAGCGGCTGTCAGGACCGACCCACCACCGCCTCCGTCCCCGGAGGAATCACTGTACCACCGCCCCTCTCTGCCTCTGCCAGTACATCAAAAAGCAGATCCTTCGATAACACAAACCTGCTTCATGGAGCGTGACTTTTTTAACTTTGCACCTATGCTCTGGAGACAAACTGACTTGTTGGATCATTTCCTTAAATGAAGGACTTGTTTGGAGCTTCACACTCCAGTCTGCAGGCGCCTGTACTGATGTTTTTCTTACGCCAGCTCTGTGTTTGCATCACCTGGATCCTCGTCTATTTGTTCCCAACAATTCCTGCACTGTGCCAAACGCTGTCTGGTCCGGATGCTGTAAAACAATGTTTGCACTCCTGTATACATGACAATCACGGCCTTAGTTACTGATGTTTTGAGTATTTGCACAAATATTATAAAAAATCTTGTGATTTGATTTGCAGTAGATTATTTAGTATGTCACTCAGAAAGTAACTCAGTATAGTTTCTCAAGTTCTGTACCTTGGTACAATGTTAAGGTACTTTAGTATTTTCATTTCATGCTACTTAATACTTCTTCTTCAGTACAGTTTATATGGAAGTTTCGTAAGTAGCACTACATTAAAAAAGCTGTAATTAAAGTTACTTTTCATAATAAGATACAAATTAAACTAGTGGTTTTCAATCTTTTTATCTTCTGACCTTTTATTGTCAGTTCGTCAGCAGTTTCATTTGTTGCATTTTTATGTTTCAGTTGGAAAAACAAATATCTCTCTAAAATGTAGCGAAGTGAAAGTATGAAGTAAACTGCTTACTTAAAGTATTCTAAAATTCCCCATAGTACAATACTTGAGTATACATATGAACTTACTTTCATTATTCCACTGGATTTTAATTGCAGAACTATTTTTTATGTTGATTTATTGGTTAAGAAGTACTCAAATTGAAAATTAATTTCCATTTAGTTTCCAAATAGAACCTTGTAATCTGTGTTTCGTAGAAAAGATGTACCCCATGTCCACTGCAGGAAACATATTTTTAAATAAATATTTAAAAAATATTGAGAACAAAATATTTATTGATATTTCTCTGGAATTCAAATGATGCTAAACATAGATGCTCTAAATATTAAAACCTTTTTTCCGGGTCTCAAGAGGCTAGCAGTGTAGCTATTTTACATTTGTTTTTCAGCAAAAACATTGGTTTGTAGTTGAATCCTATCAGAAAAAAGTGAGGGTAACCAATATAGCCAAGAGAAAGAGGTTTGATGGAGATACTGAAGGTGGGAGCTGAGCCAGCCTGTGTGTGCAGAATCACAGATGGCCATTTAGCCTCCCGAGGACAGCCAGCATCTCTGAATCGTTTAACGTGGCCTCGCGCTGCACGCCTCTCTCCTCCATCACAGAACCCTGCTTCTCCCGGGTCAGCCACGCTTACTGCCTCGCTGTGTGTTGTGTCATCCTGCAGCTCTCTCGCTGGGCTGTCACCTCGGCAACAGCACCGGGACTGATGGGTAGTCGCTGGTAATATGGGAGAAACCTGCAGCATGCTGCACACACAAATGCATAGGTATCTACTCCTACTACACACATAAAACCAGAGGTGTGAAAACACAGAAAAAGACACAGTCTGGTTTCGCTTCTGTTGCTGACATTTGAGGGAATATAGTCACAAAACTAAAGCCAATGATTCGTGTTAGCTTGCTTTCAGCATCATTGCACAGGTTCATCAAGGGAAATCTTTTTATCTCCCTTCATGCTTCTGTTCTTGTCTTTGTCTACACATCGAATGTCAACCTTTCCTTGGCCTAATGGAACATTGCACTCTAACCCACAAATGTCAACCTCATGGTGGCGCTTGTAGAAAATTCAGACAGTCATTATTCATCCTCTTGGGACCATGAATGCCGGCACAAAAAAACCACTACATCCAACGGTTATCAAGATATATCAGTTCAAATCAAAGTGATAGACCGTTCTGACAGACCAATGCTTCCTGGATGGGAAGGCAAACAAATCCTATTGATGCAAAGATGATGACCAAAAAGCAATGAAAGCTAAATGTAGGAAAAATGAGACGCTGTAAAACACAATGTGATCAAGCAGCAGATAGTGAGAGATACTGTAGTTCATGTTCTGATAGAGGGAGGCAAAAGAGAGACAGAGAAGGAGAAAAACCGGGGCAACTATAAATAGCTTAGTGATGAGACGAGAGAGGAAAGGCCACAGAGACACAGAGAGGATGGAGAGACAGGAGAGTGGGAAAACAGACAGAAAAAATATATACAGTCTTCAACAGTGTATCGTTCACAACCAAAAAATGATTCTTTTATTCATTACTCAAACAACTGAAGTCAGAAACAACTAACGCATGTGCAACACAGCCATGAACATAATTATAATAATAAACCTCAAGAGAACCACATGTACACAGGACATTTCTGGCTCTTTGAAACAAGCAACCCATCGCGTTTACAAGCTCAATAAATAATAATTTCAAAAATAAAAATGAAGTACACATCTCCCAGCTGTGTATAAACAGCTATGTTAAGTCACATCAGAAAGCACACAGGGAGATGAAGCCTAGCGCTGTATAAACTAGATATGCTAAGAGTCACTCTATGCAGTAGACACACACTCACTGTCAGAGCCCTCTGCACAATTATAATACTAAACAATACTGTGCTTCGTTTACTCTTTTAACACTGAAATATCACTCAGTCAATCATATTAGCACAGGGCGTTTATTTATCAAACGGCTAAAAGGGATTTTTCTTTTTGCTTAAATGAGAACTTCACCGGGTTCTAAAATTCTTCATTTATCGTGAAAAGAAAATAACTTTTCCTAAAGAACTTCAGGTAAAACAGTGAATAATTTATATACAGTTGGTTATTTTGTAGGTGAAGTATTCATTTAAGTGTTAAAAACCTTAATTTTACCCCTACTCACTAATTTAAATTATTAGTTTTTAAGTAGACGATGAATGGATAAGCACAAAGAGTCATATTGATATTCTCATCTAATGCTTTGCAAGATGGCGAATAAGCATAATTCCCACAAAGTTCAACTGTTAATAAAAGCAATTTTTTCAAAAAGGCTTCAGCTATTAATAATATGTTATCTGAACAGTCATATAATTATTAAATCACATGTTTTGGCAGAAAAACAATGTTACTCACTGAGTAAAATTGATTGTTTTTTAAGGTGAGATCGAAGATAATTCTCCTGCCTCGGCTGGAAAATAAAAAAAATCTAATCTATTCCTTTAAATAATAATCAGTAATAAGGCAGTTATTGGGTAAATCCTGGTATCTGTGCATATATGTGATCAATCAAATAAAAGTTACAGGCTGTAGAAAGGAGGAAGTCACTTCACAAAACGTTATTGTTACTAAGCTGTCTTTTAGGAGCAATATTAATTGTAGTTTTTAGAAGATTGATAAATATGTGCCCAGATTTACTTAATATAATACATACGTGATAATCAAATGCAATGCCGTTGCCAATAATAACAATAACATAATATATACTACAGAATAAACTGCATTTATACTGTCTATTTTTGTTCAACAAACATCATTTTAAATATCTCTGGATAACTCTTTTAAAAATAGCATCATCATAGGGACCAACAGAGGAAAAAGGGGTAGCAGAAGGGAAATATGAATAGGTCCAATAACTCATGTTGATAGGAAAAAAGATAGAGACAGAGAGGGAAAGATTTCAAAGAGCGGAAAGTGCTACAATACAGTATAGGCATTAATAATGTATCTCTCTCTTATTGGAAACATTCATTTTCAGTTCCTCCCATAACCCCAGAAACCTCAGGTCATAGTTCATACAGTAACGTTACGGCCATGTTGGCTCTTATAAATAACAGCACACCTGCTGCTTCATTTTGGAGACCACACTCTTTTGTGACATGAACCCTGACTCGTTTTGTTACAACAGTGAAACCTCAATATTTAAGACAAATGGAGACAAACTGAGGATGACATGCAGGGTTATGTTGCCTCTTAAGTTTAACGGTGCACTACATTTTCATATACAGTGTCTGAGAGACTAAATAGCTAAGAGATGTGCAACACAAGATAGGCAAATACATTTCTAAATTACTGCAAAAATAAAGTTTGCAAACCTAAAATTCAATTATCTAAATTGTCTCCATTTCTTATTTTGACAGTAGCTTGTACTAAAATACTGTACCTCACATTTGTACTTTAGGAAATATTCCCACCAACAGCTATTATTGCACTGGACACCCCTTTAGCTTAAATGTATATTTATCATGCACTATAAAACTATGAATGTAAGCAGCTGCATCGTAACGTCTTGTAACTACAAAGTGCATCACCATCAGATATCAAATTTAAGCCAATTTCAGAGTGTTGTATAGCTGCAACAACTAGTGATATAATGTAAATTAGAGCAGAGAAAGTCGTTGCATTGAACAAATTAATACATAACAGATATTTAAATAAATAAAAAAACATATATTTCATAAATAATGTATCATCTCATCCAGCCTAAGTGTCCATGTAACATACAAACAATGAATCTCAAATAAATACTCTGTGTTTGATTACATTAGACACAGTCCAGTCTCCATTAGGTGTGTTAAATGTGTATTGATCACCCCATCTAACACTTTCTACAAGCTTATAATACAACTCTGCAAATCAACACTGCTTCAACATGGCACTATAAAAAAAAGAACAAATGTACTTGTAAGACTAAAATATGCATTTAACTATCCTAAAAACAATTAATCTGGGTCCAATTTAGTAGCTACCTAACATCCTATGTATGAATTAATGGGCATCAAATGAATTGTTAAAACAAGGAGATTCCCTTTTGCAGCTCATTTCAGAGTGTAAATATTAAGCACTCGCTGTACTAACAGAAATACTGGGCCTCATTTGACAGATGCTTGTATTTGGCGTTTGAACATCAGCTGTGATTGGTTGTTTTTGGTCGTGTGTTTGATGGCAGCAGGTTAGGTCGGAGCTGTGTGTGTGCCAGCGATGCAATAGCAGTTTGTGTGCATTCTCAGTGCTCCTATTTCCTCCAAACGCTTGAGAGTAGTTAGCTATGTAAACGCCATGATTTCCATTTGTCTGACACTGCAAGGAGTTAAGGATCCCAGTCGTCGTCGTGGTGCTGCGAGGCGATGATGACGACCACGGTGAGGATGGTGCACAGCACGATGGAGGCAATACCAACAGCCAGGCTGATGAAGGAGAAGTTGCGAGCCTCGCGGGAGGCTATTTCCGCCGTCACCATGTCCCCTCTAGCTATCGCCGTGCGCACCTAAGTGAGGCAGGAGGGAGGGGATGGGTGTGTGGGAGAGAGGAGAAATAAGGATTATGTAACAAGAAGATGCACGAGTGGGAGCAGGAGGGAGTATAAAGCACCATGAATGGATCGATTTCACTGCAGCACAGGCTGAATGTGCAGAAAGAGGCCACTCCACACAACATTAACACACCATAACAACATATACGGCTCAGACCGGTGGGTCCATGCCTTGTCAGCTCAACTTAACTCAAAGCCAGCTGAGCAGGCCCAGAGGATAAAATCCATTCTATCCCGTTGCACCGACAATGGTGCAGTTACGTAATGAGAACTGTGTGTTGTGTATGTTGGCCAGCACAGTCTGCCGTTACAGTGGCAAACAACAGGCATCACGAGGTTTGAGAGTCACCAGACCTATATTTACATTTCTCACATCACGCTCAACTAAACATGACCAACATACAACATGGGCCTTTTAACGCCTTTTAAATGAGTCAAGATAAATTCTCTTTAAATGTGTAATATAAATCCTGCAGTGACAGATTGCTTCTCCTGTAGACCTTTTATGTCTGGCTGTGCATTATTTAATGGTATTGAAAACATACTGTACATTGTCAGAATTTGTAATTCACCTCAGAGTCCCGCCTGCTTTGTCAGGAAAAGCAGTTTTTTTTAGTACTGCACTGTAACTTTTATTCATTTACCTGTGTTATTATTTTTAATTATTTTGATTATCTTTGCTTTTAAATGAGTGTTTTGAAATGACATTTTATAATATGTTTCTGCTGCACTGTTTCTTAATGCTCTTAATGTCTTTCATTTTTGTAAAGCACTTTGAATTGCCTTGTTTTGAAAGGTGCTATATGAATAAACTTGCCTGGCCTTGCCTAGTATGAAGAGCATTTCAACTATATACTATGTGGATATTGTGTATAGATATTCCCGGATGTATACTACATTTGCAAGTATTTCTTGAGTATGAAATGTAACTTGACTTTGCAACTCAAATACCCCACAATGCATTGCTGCTCTTCAGACTTTCCAATGGCTGACAGCGAGGGAGACGGTTTGAATAAATAAGTTGGATTGACAATACAATACTGAATCATTTAAATTTGCCTGGAAATAAGACTTAATGTTAATTCGCTTTGCAATTAACAATTTTCATCAAACTTTAGCTCAAAGTCATGTGATACATGGAAGAAGTATTGCTTTAGAATGAACAGTCTTCCAGTAATGGCTGGACATTTCCACCCCCCATTTGTCTCCCATATGTGGGTGTTTTTCCCAAAAGGTGTGACTAAAAGAAATATGATCTGACTTTTATAGATAGCCTACAATATTTAGTTTTGATCACTGTCATTCTTTAGGCAGGTACAATCCTGAACATAAAACGAAGGGTGTAATGACTCAAAGATGCATTTACATTACAAAGTCTCCCTGGTGGAGGCGGCATTATGTTAATAAAGCTCAGAGATGGCAAAATATGATGAAGTGTTTTTAACCTGCACTGCTTTGATGATGGCAATGATGCCTGTGGGCCAGAAGCAGCAGACGGTGGTGAGCACGGCGATGGGCAGGTAGTCGTGGGGCGGCCGGCGGTCCATCAGGGTGATTCCGGGGGGCATTTGCATGGGATGAATCTGTCCGGGTGGGATCCCAGGGTGGCCCCCCCCCGCCTGGATGTAGGGCTGACCCTGAGGGAGGGGAAAGACAGACAGTAAGTAGGAGAGCTTTTTAATAACAGAGCAGTTTACAAAGTACTTTCATATCAAAAGACACAGGACAAGGGGGCGCAGTCAAAGAGGACAGCTGCATGAGCAATGTCTCTGCATGTATCAAAGAGTCGTACATGTAGAAGTTCCATAAGCAACATGGTAGGGAATGTCAAAGAATCATAGACAGTATAAGAACGTATTCAATTTGAGGATTAATCCCCAGCTCTCGCTTTCAATTCATGCACTTGGTGGTGAGAACAAAATCACTTTCACTTGTTTGATGAAATTGTGTGAATGGCTTTATCTACTAAACAAACATCTGCAGCTTTATTGAAAAATAAGTATTGTACAAAACTACAACTATTATTTTACTAAACCAATGACTACTCACATAAGATAAGATAAGATAAGATGTACTTTATTCATCTCAGTTTGTGAAAATGTTTAGTTGCAGCAGCATAAAACAAAACAAGGCATCGCACTAATAACAAACTAAAAGAGTAGACATAAACAATTCTAAAATAGAAACATCTCAAAATAGAAATAAATCAGCATTAGAGTGTAAGAAAAATATACAGATGACCGTGAATATAAACAAATCTATTAACTGTCTGGCAAATACAAATACTATTGAAAGGCCAATTTTCTGTAAACACAATATAAGCAGGATATTTACATAAAGTAAACATCCGCTCATCCCATGTTGTATTTTTGGAAAAATGATGTTCCCTTCTAATTTTTTCATTTTGGTTTTAAATAGAAAATTGCATTAACATTATTATCATCAAGTAACTGTTAAGATAAGCCTTCTTCTTCTTCTTTCTTGTGTTTTTCTTGTACTAATTTACAAAAAATATAGATGCAATTTGCCCTGCAAAGTTTAAAGTTCTGTTAAGGGAAACCATTTATATAAGATTTATTTTTATTTATGTCTAAATGTATTCACTTTGAATCTCCATGACTTCGGAATAATTCATTAAAATACAGAGCCTCCCCAGACAGAAATTACCCAATGAAGCAATAAATTACATTTGTATTGCCCGTATGGGGAATATTCTTTGCACAGAGTTTATGAACCATATCAACCATACATGACAGCACATAATATAACATAATAAAAAGCACAGTTACTGCAATCCATAAAATAAATTATGCGCAAGTTCAAGAATATGCCAATTCAGCGCCCATGGTTAGCTCGTTTTCAGCTGAATGCTGCCTGATGATGATGTAATGCCTTTCATTTCACGTCCTGGGCATGATATAGCATTTGTTCTATAAAAAGTGCACACTCAGTCCTTGGATCTGCTATTATATTGTGAGCTGGAGCCAAGGTGTACTCGTCTACCATTAGTTTTATTTTGTTCCCCAGTTAGCTTGTCCCTTTAATTGGATCTTCTATTGTGTTTTTATGTAAATGTTTTTAATGTTTAAAGAACCATTTTTATATAGACAAATGTCTGCCTTTTGCAACAAAATAGTAGACGATGTATTTTTTTTTCTGCATTTCCCTCTTGTTTTATACCAAACTATATATGTTCTATCCAATAGAGATCCTTGTAAATGATTAGGACAACCTGTAATATAAAGTGTGAAGGATGGAAAATATACAAACTAGCTGTGAAATGAGGTGGGAAGAAGGTCAAAGTATACTGAAGAGAGACTGGTGTAATTCTGCAGCAGCCTGATGTCAGACCTGTGAAATCTTTCAAAGCACTCAGCTCTTCTCTGACTCACCGATGCCATGGGGTAGACAGGTACGTAAGCTGTGCACGGCTGTAGCTGGAGCGGGTAGCCCGGCTGGAGGTACCCTACAGGGGCGTGAGGCATGGTGCCCCCGGGGCCCTGGGTCTGGACCGAGTAGCCCTGCATGGCCCCCTGAGGTCCCATCGGGCCGCAGTGGAACTGGGTTTCTTGGAGATATCCATCTGAGCCCGGGGGAGGAGGGGGAGGAGGGTAGTTGGGTTGGGTGCCGGGTGGATGCTGCATGTTGGGATGCTGAGGTACGTTTGGGTCTTGCGGGCCGGGGAGGTATGGAGGAGGCTGCATGGTCTGACGGCTAGAGTCATCAAGACCTGAGAGAAGAAGAAGAAGAAGAAGAAGAAGAAGAAGAAGAAGAAGAAGAAGAAGAAGAAGAAGAATGAGGGAAGATAAGAACAAAGCAGGTAGGAGAAGGATCACAAATAGAAAAAGGCAGAGGAAGAAAATAAACGGATGTAAGAGTGAGGGCATGTTATCTAACTCAAGCACTATAACACATTTGTGTGCATGTTGAATGTATTATGTCTTATCTCACTGCTGAGGAGGGGAAGAAACAATTACACAGACCAAAGCTCCTCAGTGACACTTCCAACCTCCTCCACAAAGACAAAAACATGTGTAGTCTGTGTGCTAATGATGACAGTGATTGACATGTTCACCTCCAGAGAAGAAAGGCCTTTTTCTCTCCTTCTCCCATTAAAAAGTTGTTTACGAGTGGTTAGAAATGTCAAAAACGTCCTCTTATGGTCTGTCTGTCTGTCTGTCTGAAGCATCCTTATTCCTTCTTTGTGTTAGTTAACATTGAAAATGACTGAGGGGGTTTTGTGTTTTCACAGCAGGGAAGTGGCTGTGGTGCACGGTAATCCAGATTGACAGGGACGTGAGGATAAAGAGAAGACGTCGTTGAGGAGGAAGGGTTTGATGGGATGAGAGCGAAGAAGCTGAGTGATGAGGGATGACGCATTGTGCTTGGGGACGATCTTTACGTAACGCCGATGCTGTCACAAGCAGGAAGCGGAGCAAAAACATACAAGAGGGGAAAGGAGCTGGCATGAGGGAAGGGAGACCTTTCAAAGGGCAAGCAGCTTGGCAAACATGAAGGACAAGACACACGTTGGTGTTTCTCCGTTTAAAGGCTACGGAATCCCAAGTAGAAGCTGAGAAATGGTGGATTTGGTGGAGACAGTAAAATGTCTGAAAAAAAGTATTTCCAATTTTAAAAAGGACCATCTTCTCAAAACAAAAAATCTTTGTTAGTATGGTTTACCACTTTGATTTACAAACAGAAATCAAGTGTTATTGATCAAATTAAAATTACTAATTTATGACTTTTTTTTTAGATAGTTGAACGTTTACCCAGGAGGTGAACCGGCACCTCTGAAAGTCCACACTGTGCTATTTGTCTGTTTTGGAGACTTGAACCAGCAACCCTCTGGTTCCTGAGCCAATTCCCTATAGGAGAGAGCTGCTGCAAGAATAGGTGGTATTATTTTTTCAAACTTGCATTGCTAAATAGTCCCAGCCAATCCCCGTCCACAACCTGAATGCATTAAATGCAAAATATAGCAAAACCAACACTCAATCAATTATTCTAATTATGACGGTGACACTTAAGTACAAGGGCACAGACTAAACAGGATGTTATGAGGAATGTGAAGCAGAAGAATAAAATAAACATGTGGATAAAATATCAAGTACAATGAATATAGCTTGGCATGTGTTGACAATGTAGAGTCATGTGACTAAGAGTGTGTGAACACGTTGCAGGTGTAATTTAACCCAGGTTAGATAAAACATACTGTAGCTGTCCCAAAGAGGAAAACATCTTTCAGCCGGCTTTTACAATAAGAGCTTTTTTGGAACATTCTTCCATTAAATATACTGTATGTTTAAGTGACTATACTGTTAATTTGCACAAAATCTTGAACGAACAACAAAGCAACAGCAACAACAAAGGGCCTGCTATCATAAATTAGCTGCATAGGCTACCCTTTGTGCCCTGTTTTTGTGTGTTGGTCAGATTGTGTCCCTACTGCTTTCAATCATCTTATGCAATATTATGTGATTTTGTGTTGTCACATTTAACTTGTTTGTGCTGATTTTCTTCTTAACATTGTTTAGTGTAACTGCCTGTTTTAAAATATCCTACATTGCATTACTCTACTAAGCTTTCTTTTATCCTTTTCAGCTGTTTTGCTTTGTCAAGTTTCAATTTCTGTGTTCACATGTTGTGTGTTTAATTGTTGTTTTATGGACAATTTACCATCAGCCCAAGGGACACCAGTTCAGAAAATGAGCCTTTAGGCTGACACTGGAACACGTCCAGTGATGGTAATCAATGTGCATTGTCCCTAAGAATACATAAATAAAATAAAAATGGAAGCAGCAGGGTGAACAATGACAACAAAGAACATAATACTGAGCTTCAGTGCATTTTAAACAGACCTAAATCATTCCCATTGAGACATCTGCAAAGCATCATTGCCTTACAGTATTTAAATTGATAAGCACTGTTCTGCATCCTTATAAAATAAAAAGTAGGCCTGGTGCTGATGTTTAATTAGCAATAATGATGGATAAAGGGCCACACACGAGACAACAGGCAGATGTGCAGCCTGTACAGTCTGCCATTTACTGTATCAATGGCCACTTTAAATGCTTTTCATTATGACCTTTTAATATGTTGTTCTGTAGGCCTACTGTAAATCTGCCGTTTGAGCTCCATCGGTAGTTGGCGCTTTAACGTCTTAAAATAATCGAAGAGCAAGCTGGAAAGACAAAATGCTTATTTTATGGTAATGCACGCAGACGTGTAGGATGATTATTAATTAAGGCTGTTAAACACGCGCAAGTGAAGACGTGCACGCGCAGCGGACACCCACACTGATGTCCACAGTCAGGAGAAACGTACGTAGGCTTGTGCGTAATAATGATAATGAGACTCGGAAACAAAAGGAAAAAATAACAATAAAACCGGGATAAACCGCACCGTGTCATGTGAATATCATGAAAAGTTGCTACATTTTCAAGCCGAGAGGTAATCAAATAATCTACATGTGATTGACATATAATCATGAAAATGTCCCTTTTAACTCTCATTGAGCACGCTGGATGCATTATGCGGCCCTATGAAGCTTTCCTCCCGGGTCTGCACCCACACAGCGGTGCAGCATCATATAGAAGCAGCGCTGTGCAGATAAACAGAGATGTTGACAACAGGGGGAGCTGGAGGAGAAAGATCTGGTCAGCCTGAAAAGCGAAAATTATTTCCATTTAAAAAAAAAAAAAAGACCCAAATTGTAAAATCTCCAGAGGGTTTTAGACTCAAGCTCCAAAACACGCCCGATCATCCCAATGAAAACCTCTCACCGTGTTTTTCCGACGACATGCCTTCCGATCTTCTGTCCTCCTCTGTGATGTACTCCAAACCTGGTGGTGAAAAAAAAACCTCTTTTCTCGATGCAGTTGTTTTACTCCGAACAACCCATCCTCAAGATGTCATCATCTCAAAAACACCTTATTATAACTTCAAGTGTTTTTCTCCCTAAGTGAGGCTAATTGTGTTGCAGCGCGCAGTGCTCCCCCTCTCCTCTCTCTGTGCAGCCGGCAGTCTAATAAGGTTTCTCCACTAACGCGTCGCCGTACATTGAATTAATCAGACACAAAGCTATCGTTGTCTTAAAGCGACAGCTCGGATTGCGAAACTGCACACGCATTGTGATGGAGCAACCCATCACAGCTCAACACAGAGCCACGGATTTCTTCCCTTGCATGATATTACACCACCTCAGTTTCTCCTCTCACGCAGGTTGTCCTCAGATGGCACATTTTACCTTGAGGTCTTTACAGCAGGATGTAAGAGAAGCAGGCAAATCATTTCAAAACATCTTTCATTTTTTATGTATACAAATATGTGGGCACAATCCATGTGTGTTTTAATACAGATTTATTTTATTACTGTACAATAAATTACAATCAAGATTTAATTCCCACAGTCTCTACCTTGGTCTGGTGGTTAAAATCATTCCCTTTTTTCATGGTCAGGAATTTTCATGTAAACTTTGACGTGTTTTGTAGGCACATACAGCACTTCTTGTTAACATAAACCACCACTTCACCTCCCCCACATGTTTCGCCATCCCTCTAACACCTTTCAGACAAAAGAACACATCTCCTCAGTGGGTGTAGAGGGAGGCGGTGAAGACGATGTCCCTGCGGATGGCCAGGGAGGCTTTCTCCATCTTGCTACCCAGGACGGAGTCTCCCACGATGCGGGCGGCCTGGCGCACCTCCTTCAGCACCTCGTCCAGGCGCTGGATGCACCGGACCACTGTGCCCTCCTGCACGTCGGTCAGCTGGGCGATCTCTGCGAACGGCTGTGATGGGACAGAGGGAGAGAGACAGGAGCAAGGTGAGACATGACATGGTGCAACACGAGCATGAGGAGATAAAGTTTTATAGCATACATCCAGAGGGATATACAAATCTGTCTGTATGTGTTTTAATATTATGTAATTGCCAGTGCTAAGTTTTTTATACAATAAAACTATTTAAAATAATATTGAATAAATAATTAGACATAATAAGCCTCAACTCAAGCTTTGGGATATCATACGGTATTATAAACAATAAACAATAAAAAGAGATATCAGAAGGTTATTTGACGATTAAACACAACCAGTTTAACCAAGCTGCCTTTGAGATATCCCATTAAGAAAACTACTGCTGGGGATAAAACATCATTCACATTGTTGATATTAAATATTCAGCCTTTAAGATCACACTAAGCTATGATTTCTGTACCCACTACAAACTATGAAAGTACCTGCCCTCAATTTAAAGACAGGATCAAGTGAAGAAAGGCCGAAATTATTATTATATTTAGTTAACATGTATGTATTCTCACCAAGATACAGATTGCATGTTAATACCAGAGTCTAAATGAACTCTAAATCAATTGCAACAACTAAAGTGCTACAGGTTAGGTGAGACTCAGTGCCTGGCTGGAAATGCCTTTTATTACTGGGGCAGACAATAAAATGGCTTTTTAAACTATTCTGAATGAAAGAGACAGACAGACAGATACACACAGGCAAACACAACTGAATACATGATGTCCGCACAGACTTACACCTGGCGAAAACAATAACCGGGAGTGAAACCTCACCATGCCTCTGGCCCAGCAGTACACCACCTCTGTCAGGCCAAACTTGAACTGGCCAACAAACTCCTCAGCTGTCTGCGGTATCTCACACTCCCTCTGCAGCTCTCCAATACGCTTGGCCACTGAAAGCACCCGATCGATACCCTGAGAGAAAAACACAAAGAGAACGAGAGAGGTGGGGGTTAGAAGAAAAGGTTAAGCCTGAAAGAGAGATTTTAGTTTTACAAGCAGCCTTTAAATGCATCACTCTCTCTCCTCTTGGAGATGTTCAAGAAATCTGTTTTACAAAATGTACCGCTGCTCCTCTATGGCAGGTCTACAGAGCTCAGGTCATCACTAATTCAGGACCTCATAAAGCACTTTCATGTATCAGGGGGCCGTTCACAACACACACCGACACAGCAGAGGCGAATTTGACAGAGACAGACGAGTGTATTAATAAGTGAGAGAGGCTTGGATGAGTCGGGTGAAGTGCTCTTAGTGTCCTTTCTGCAGGGAAAATATGTACAATGTTAAACTGAGTACAAGTGTGTCAACGTTTGTGAGTCACCCAGAGAAGGCAGAGTCTTATACACAGTCAGTACACACACACATCAGGGCTGTCATTTTTAAATCTGTGCTTTTCATGAGATAAAAGCAAGAAAAGCTTCCTTTCTCCTTACCTCCTGCAGTGTGTTGGTAATGTGCGGCTCCACCTGTGTTTTCTGCGTGAATACCAAACAGGACAGCAGGGCGGCGCTCTCCTCGGGGGCCAGCGGGCTCAGGACGTTCTCGAACAGCAGCTCGGTCAGAAGCAGCTCGTGGCTGCTGATCTGACAGGCCACGCGGCCCTTCAGCTGCACCGCCCCGCTGCTGTCCACGTACTGGAGGGACTGCAGCACCTGAGGAGAGAAAACTAACCTTTAGGAGCGGTTTGGTCAGGATCAGTTTCATCTAAATAGTATTTATCTTCTGAATCGCAAAAAAAAAAGTTAGGTTCAAAAGATTGTAGGCCAGATTTAATCATATCTCGTCTGCCACATCTACTTGCTAAATTCACTCAATCATTTCTATCACAAAAACATGGTCAAGTCTCAATATCTGTTATCTATGCAAACAGGAAAAATTGTGATCTAGGACACGGTTTGGCAATATTTAGTGGATTTTGAACAGGGATTTGCCAAAAATGTGAAACTTCATTCATAAAAAAAAAAACGAATTCTATACATAAATACTTTAATAGAAACTTTGAATTAAAATATGCCCTACTTGGAAAGTTTTGATCCTTAAAATTCTTTGAATTTCAGCAATTCTCTTTACACAAAAATATTTAAATAAATATTAAATGGATTGCTAAGAACAGTTTTGAAAACACACATGGCTCCCTATGGATAAATAATAATGATATTTATAGTTCTCCAATTTTTTTGTTGAAGAAGATTATCCTGACAACTATTAGATTTCCATGAACATTAGTGCACACACACATCCCCCGCTCAGAGTAGGACTCTGTATATAAAGGGTAAGCTAAATGTGCTATACAAATAAACAAACCTTAACCTTAAGCTAAGGGATTTAATGCACATTTAAAAATAATAAGAAATGTACCTTAAACCATATTTTTTAAAGATAGGAGTTTGGTCAGAGATTTAAAATTAAACAAAGAAATCTCAATCTTTAGGGCGGGAAAGTGACCTTATTCTGATAAATAGACATGCACAAACAGGTCAGGGCAGCGAGTCGAACGTCTGATCCAAACCTTGATCCTCTGGTGGTATTCAGGTAGCAGAGACAGAGACTGGTCCGACAGATGGAGATCCTCATTTTGTAGTCCAGCTGCCTAAGCTGCGTCAGAATTTGTGTTTCACTGTCGACGGCCGAGCCAGTGACGTTCTCAGACTGTTAGAGGACCCAGAGAGAGGTACGCTTGGAAATAAAATCCCTCATTTAAAGTGGACCTATCATGCTATATTTGAATAATGTAGTGTAGGACCATACCTATATAAGGCATATTTATACTTTTTATTTTTCAAAATACCAAACAGATCATGCATTTTAGCCATTCCTCATTTCGCTCAATTTAACACCGTCTTTGCACGGGCTGATTCTGTGAGAACAGCACCATCTACAGGCCTGGCATATGTACTACAGCGTCTCCAGCGCATTCGAACGGCAATGTCCGTGGCTGTCTCCTCCTGATTGGTGGAGTTGGCCCAATAGCCGTAGCGCCACTTCTGTGACGTCATAGAAGTGTTCAAATCTGGATCAATCTGTATGAGATCCGTTGCAGCCCCTTTTTAAGAGATTTGGGTATGGAGGAAAATAGAGAGGGTTGTGTTTTCTGACACTTGGTGAGTTCCCTGGAACACCGGGGACACATATTCATGTAGAAAAGACGTACAAAAGTGCATTTTGCATGATAGGTCACCTTTAAGTCTTATGGTGGTTCCTTTCTTGCCTTTACCATACCTCTATTCTTCAAAGAGCATTGTAGATTTGACTTAGGGTTAGCTTAAATTGTTGGCTTGTCTGCTAACATCACCGCTCCTGCACATCTGTCTTCATCTTCCCACTTAATAAACCTATTTTACTTCAATCAGGAGAGAAGGTTTTGATGTAAGAATACATATTTATTGCAGAGATACGCGAGGGAGGGGCTTAGCTTGACCCTGGTGGTGNAGGCTTGATCAAACATTTCAAATGGTGAACTAAAAGTTATTTATAGTTGAAATGTTAAGCTTAAAGTTCCCATGTCATGCTTTTCCGGTTATTACCCTTCCCCTTGTGTGTTATGAAGGTTTTTATGCATGTAAACAGTCTGCAGAGTCAAAAACCCTCAAAGTACACCCTGTAGCGAGTAAAATGATGAATAAACTGTTGGAATAGTTGCAATGGATTACATTTATTGGTTTAACCGTTGAGCTAAATGTAATGGATAAACTAAGTTTGGTGAAAGTAATAGATTAGAAGTTGAAATGGTTAGCATTATTTAAAAGAAACGGTTACATGGTTAAAAAGTCCAGTGTCTGCCACTACAAGAAGTAGGCCTAACTGTTCAAGTAAGTAAGTCCTAAACACTGATTATTCTATTGTATGAAGCATATGTTGTGACTTTACCCACAGTTATATCAATTAAAGTGTTAAAAATAATTCAGTTTGTAATCCATTTATTTAAAAAAGAAAATATGAATGGTGGATTAGGGACCAGGCCAATGGGTTAAACCTGTCACTCTTGAAGAAACAGAACAGTCCAATATCTCTTTCTAGCAAACCCGATCAGATTAACCATAGCCTCTCGACTCTGAAAACATTTGCAGTTTATTTAAAGAAAGGCAGGAAACCAGATCACTTCTGCTTTCCGGACAAGTGTTCTTTACTGCAGTGACATGGTGATGGTGTAATCGGCTGGCGGAGGCAGTGGATTAGGAGGCTGTTGTTTATTTATTCAATATATTCAGTTTAAAGAAGTAGATATGCATTTTATACTATAAAGTATAAAATGCATATCTACTTCTTTAAACTGAATATATTGAATAAATAAACAACAGCCTCCTAATCCACTGCCTCCGCCAGCCGATTACACCATCACCANTTTGGGATTGGGCCGATATCTCCGGCGGTAGAGAAGACCCTCTCCAGTGTGGTTAATGTTTGCTGCCATTCTCCTGAACCGCTTCGCACTTTCAATCGCAATTTAACAAATGGTTAAACAAATATGATTCTAACCATCTAAGTGTTTGTGAAGAAAAGTTAAAACTGGAAAGCTTAGATATGAGTATTTTATGATTAACAGTGTCAAAAGCCTTTTTTAGGTCAAGAAACACAGCTCCTACAACACCACCTTTATCCATTTTTGATTTGATTTGTTCTGTAAAAAAACAGTTGGCGGTCTCTGTTGAGTATTTTGCCCTAAAGCCAAATTGCATAGGATGCAGAGAAAATGTACTAGTGCTTAAATGGTCAATGATTTGCTCAGACACAAGTTTCTCAGCAACCTTTGACACTGTAGGAAGGATACTAATTGGCCTATAGTTACAGGAAGACATGGGGTCTCCACTTTTAAATATTGGGATAACTATAGCTGGCTTCAGTCAAATTTCAGACTTGATCTGACAAATAAAGTTTTATCGTATCGTATCTTATCGTATCGCTTCCAAACACTTGGAAACATTCCCTGACTGAAGGAGAGGTTAATCATTTTGGCAATAGGATTAGAAAGTGTTGTGCTGAGATCTTTTAGCATAACCATGTCCATGCCAAGTATATCCTTTGTTCTCGATGCTTTAAGTGATCCAATCACTTTTATAACTTCAGATTCAGTGATATTTCTTATGCTGAAAGCCGGCTCAATTGTATTAAAATAACAAAAATGTATGCAGTCAGGTGAGAAACACTGTGCAATGGTTGCAACAGAATCAATGAAGTAGTGGTTTAAAACTTCAGCTATGTCAGCTGGATTGTTTATAAACTTTCCATTGACTTTAAGTTCAAGCTGTTTTCTTTCCTTATATTTATTTCCAGTGAATAGTTTTAACTGTTTCCAGATCATTTTAGAATTACCCCCTGCCTTGTCTATTATAGTCAAGAAGAAGTCTGCCTTAGCCTTCCGTAACTTCTTAATGACTTTGTTCCTCAGCATAGCAAAGTGATGCCTGTCATGGCTTAATTTAGTTTTGATTGATTTTTTTAGGACTAGATCACGTTCTTTCATCAGTTTTAAAATATCGTCATTTATCCAAGGGACAGTGTTTTTCTTATTTTTCTGCTTGAATTTGCAATTGAAATCTCTGATAGTGCTCTCTAATGTTTTTGAGAACATTTTACTGTCGTCTTCGTGGTCTATTCCCAGCAAAAGATCATCCCATTTAATATGTTGAACAGCATTTATAAAGGTCTCATATTTGTTTTTGGGAATTCCAAAAGAATCATTTTTCCTGAATGAAGGGCTAAATCGCCTCTTGGTTAGGTTCCTGGCGATTAGAATCATATTGTGGTCAGAGAGACCAGTTAACATATTAAAAGATTTAAAAATTCTCTCTGGTTTGTTACTAAAAATTAGATCAATTTGTGTCCTGGTGGAATTAGTGATTCAACGCGTTTTTTTACTAGTTTGTTATCACTTTGAAATTCACATCTAATGAACCACATATTTCATGTCTATGACATTGGTTTCTGCTGAGGTAAAACATCACCTGGGAAAATAGTTCATTATTTATGTTTATTATTTAATAGGCATGGATAAATGGTGTCAGCAGAAAAAGAGTAGACAATGTGTTATTCATTTCAATTAATTTATGCATCTAATTTTCTATCTAGTCAATTTCCAAAAGTACCACACTAAAAGATGTTGGTATATACACTTACAGCTTGTATCCACATGGAGGCAGAATTTTCATAAAACAGAACACAGGCCACCAACCGTGTTACAGTGTGAAGTCTTGTACCCTATACACAGCTGTATGCAGTTTTCAGTAGTTTAACCTTGCAGTAAGTTAGTGTTGCTGTAGGAATAAGGATAACACTATTGTTAACATTTAAATTTCAAACAAAGTCTCACATGTGAACAAAGGAGATTAATGTTTTGTAATTGTCGACTTCAATCCTTCACAATGCGGAAGGGAAACATGCATGACATAATTTGTTTATTTTCAATGACCCCAAATTATCCATAACAATATGTTAATGTGTTTCAGTTTCAGTAAAGCTGCACCGGACACCATAACACTCTCAATAATTGCAAACAAAAGGCAGACGAATCACAAGCTCCACCTCATGAAATTTTTTTAATATGCCATCTTAATATGCCTTTACATATAACAGTTCGCTCTCTTTAGTTCTGACGGTGTTGAGCTGTGAACCACAAGCCACATTCCTGTAGTCATGAGGCCGAGCTGATCTGAGTCACACGCTGAGACAGGGAGAAACAGAAAGAGAGAAGTCAGAATGAAACTCTGCTAGGGCTCATTTCATTGTGAAAGTACGACACAGTCTGTAAGCAAGACATGGTTACTTTCAAGGGATCTACTACAGAAATGGGCTGAAAAAGGAATACAATCATCACAATGTTGACAATGGAGGTATGTAATTCATCATGGGACTTTCTGGTTTCACTTATACTGGGTTTGGTTTCAAGACCTCACAGTCTTAAAGGTGGGCTTCTCCAATGAAACATGTCGGGCAGCCACAGAAAAAAATCAAGCTTGTTAAATGAACCTTTCACCCTAAAAAGTGACTTCCTTCACCTATTTTCTATACCCTTAAATTCTATGAGAGCATTTGATTGCATGAACGTTCAAAACAATGTGGGGGATTAAGTGTCCGGAGTATGGCATCCCAGCAAATATCAGTGTAACAAAAAAGATCATGGGAATTTCTTGTTTGCAAGAATTGCACTATATAGACACATATACACACTTATTTAGTTCAGCAGTATGCATAACAACACATAACCAAACCAAGATGCAATTTTAAGATAAGGGATTGTCGGTTGTGTTTGTACTGATAAGCTCAAGAAATACAGTAAATGCTATTTCCTCTATCGAGAAGTAACACTTATGCCTGTATTTGAACACAGCCCTCTTCTTGCACATGTATGATAAATAGTGTGCTTTCTTTATCTCCTTCTGAACAGGTGTCGTATAAGCAGGCAATGTTGCATTAACCCATCACTGTACCCTGTATGCAAGGGCTGGTTTGCCTTCGCTAACTGTACGGAGGCTCAGTCACTGGTACATTTTTATATACAAAGCCATGTTGGGGAAACTTCCATCCTACATCTGCTCCCTAATCTCACAGCGAATTTTAAGTAGCTACTGCCTGAGATCGCATGCTGTGTTTTTATTAAATGTGCCAACTGCTAGGACTGTCTTAGGGAAGATGGCATTTAGATGCGCAGCTCCACTGTCTTGGAATAGTCTGCAATTGAAATGGAAACTGAGCAATCTGGTGCCACTAAATGTTTTTAAAGCTCGGTTGGATGCCACTCAATCGGAAGCTGTTGGTACCTGTTCATGTGGATAGTTATGTAAATTGTAAATCCCTGTAACGATGCTGTATGATGTCCTTTTTGTTGTTCTGTTTATGTTTTTATGTTTCATGTGGAACCTACTTGAGCAGGTCTCCCTTGAAAAAGAGATCAATTACATTACATTACATTACATTGCATTTAGCTGACGCTTTTATCCAAAGCCACTTACAGTAAGTACATTCGACCAGGAAGATACAACCTTGAAGAAAACAGAATCATATAAGTACATCAGGTTTCATAGAGCCAAACATTGGTCAATGATCTCAATGGGATACACCTGGATAAATAAAGGTTTGAAATGAAATGAAATGATAAATAGGGCCACAGTCAGTATTGCTTTATTTACATGTATGGAAGTGGACATTTTAGAATAATAGCAGAGAAAGCAGTTATACTGCAGGGGCGAAAGTCATATAAAGTAGAGCATTGAGTGTTTACACCTCAGTGCTAAAATGTGGTGTTGTCACAAGCAGGCAGGGGAGAAGGAGAGCTGGCTATTACTTTAAATAGAACAACTAACTGTCTATGTCAGGAAATGTGCTGTGGAGAGTCATGACCAAACACAGCTCTTATCCTCCATTAACAGGCTGAGCTGCACTGCAATGATAATACATGACATTCTGGACATTTTCTTTAAATGCAGGACAGATATTGGCAACTATAAAGGCTTATAAAGTATAAAATGCATATCTACTTCTTTAAACTGAATATATTGAATGCATAAACAACAGCCTCCTAATCTACTGCCTCTGCCAGCCGTTCACACCATCACCATGTCACTGCAGTAAAGAACACTTGTCCGGAAAGCAGAAGTGATCTGGTTTCCTGCCTTTCTTTAAATAAACTGCAAATGTTTTCAGAGACGAGAGGCTATGGTTCATCAGATCGGGTTTGCTAGAAAGAGACATTGCTACATGACTGTTCTGTTTCTTCAAGAGTGACAGGTTTAACTCTTTTTTGCGGGCAGTCTTGCTGTGTTGACAGATGCGGCCCACCTCCTTGCCGATTTAATCAGCTTCCTCATCAGCCTGTTGTCCCTCTGGCTGTCCTCCAGACCCGCCACACACAGTACTGACATTTATCTAGCAGAATTTTGTTTTCAACTTTATTTTTACTCATATTTTCAGACAAAAAGAGTGGGAAAGCATTATATTACAGCATTATATTAGTTACAGAAAAGTCAAATGGAGACTTATTTTTTTTGGTACATAGTAACGAATATTCTAAAACTAGTGGAGACTTAAGACCTTCAGTGCTAATTCAATTGATTGTTGTAATGGGCGGCCCCAATATTTATTTGTTCTATTAATGCTTTCTCCTTACGTTGTGTTAATTTATAAAAAATGCTTCGAAAAAAAAGGTCAGATGTTTCTTCTTTTATCCTTTCTGAATTTAAGTGATATAACTATTGATATTGTAAAACCCAATTAGAATGTTTGTAATCTGCAATAACATTTCTAAAGTTAAATAAATCAACACATTTCACAAAAGGATGTTTGACGGTGCTATAGCTTTTTTTTAACTTCTCTAAATGTATCCAAATGTCCTACAATTTAAACTCTGAACACCTCCTCTATTTTTAGAAGTCGACAACACCTGTCTTTTGTGCACGAATGTTAAAAGACCGTGGTGTG